TGAGGAAATGGCTGTGCGTCAAGATTACTCTAGAAAGCAATCGTGTGCAAACACTGTAGTATTTACAACTTTTGGGGTTAGTTTTGGGCAGGTAACATTGTTCTCAAAATTTCAGTAGCTTTACTGGTCTCTCCAAGAACAAAATAAATTATTTTTTTCTTTTTTTTCTTGCTGGCATTGATGATCTCTGGTTTATAAAATATCACGTTTCGTAACATGACTACTGAGATTTATGGTGATTGCCAGAGTCAAAGGCACAGAGGACTCAAAAACGAACTTCTCTTGATGTTTTTGGGCAGGAACAGAGAGATCTGGTGTTTGACCAATCTACATTTTTTGAATCTGTATAGTTATTTAATTTCAGATTTTTTTTTTAACAGCAACGTATTTTTTTTCTAGTTTAAAATGTTTTACAACCAATCCAGGACCATCTTATCTGCAGATAGCCAGCATTTGCCTCACATTTAGTTAACTGAGCTGGGGCTCAGCTATTTCATTCCATGTGAGGGCTAATGTGCAACTTACTTGATGTTTTCTGTGTAGCCAAAACATCTCCTATTCTCTCTGAATAGATGTATCCTACCTGCGGGTTCGTCACTGAGCACTGACAGTGATTCAAGGATTACTTCCTACCCTGGAATTCAAACTTCAGTGTTCAGTTCCTGTTAAAGGCATGAGAAGAGGTAGTGGGTTAAACCCTTTCCTCATGAGCTCATCGCTCTTAACTCACTGAGTCATCTAACAAGAGAGTTTTAAATTAACACACTGTGTGCACCTTATGTATGATGAACTACATATTTAAGTGCTGCTTATACTTTTAATGAGATTTCCTCTGCAAACTGCTTAAATGAAATTGTCTTAACACGTGGTTATTTAAAGAGTATTGAGATTTTCTATTTAATCTAAAACATACAATAACGCATAGGAACAACACTAGCAGTTCAGATATATTAAAGTACATGTTGGGTATCTTTTGTTGTAGCACAGCAATTATGAAAAATGTTTTGCTCTGGAAGCTGGAAGAGCTCAATACAAATATGTTCTTTTACACGGGGGTACTTACTGTATAATCATCATAAATACAACATAAAGATAATTTGTGTCACCCTGGTTGAATATGTGTGCAATAAGGGATGCACACAATAGATATCCAAGTATCCTATCTGAGCCTGGGGGGTATATTTTTAGCAATCGTTGTCTTAAAATGAGTTCCTAAACAAGCACGATGCTATAATCCAGACCCTTGTTGCTGGCTTTTTTTGTTTGTCCAAATACATCGCAGGTGTTTCTGTTTGCCCTTTTCCCTCCGAGTTCCTCGAAGGGTTTTTGACTCGTCGCCCCGCATGGCGCTGGGAGGGGCTGTGGGGATCGGGGGCTCCCTCGGAGCCGGTCGCGGGCGCAGGGAGCTGCTTTCCCTGCTCAGCAGAGGAGCCGGCTCGGGGGGTGCCCTCGGGCTGCCCGGGCAGCCAAGGCTGGGGATGTTGGGTGCCTTCGTGCTGCTCCTTCGGAGCTTCCTCGTTCTGCCTTGGAACATTTCTTGTCCGCAGTGCTTTTCTAGCTGGCACTTCGGTGTAATGCACAGCGAAATCAAGGAGCAGTGACAGGAGTACAACAACCGTACGATCCTGTCGCAGCATCTTGCTGGTGCTGGCCAGGTTTCGGGCGCTGCTCTCCCACGCTGAAAACACCAGACCACTGCTGCTTTCTTCTCAACCTTTCCTTTCCTATGATGAGAGAGTTTGTTGCCTTTTAATGGCTTTAGGAACCATCAGCATGTTCAGCCATCACTTCGGGTATAAACATATTCCAAATTAAGTTATGTAGTTTTCTTACCTATTTAAAACATTAATGCCTTGACTATAATTTTGCAAGCTTGCTACATTTTAATTTCTCTAGGACAATATAATCAGTTTATTCTTTATGTTTTGAATTTGATTCTGCCCTCTGATACATTGCATATTATAGCAAATACTAATAGAAGCTAGCTAAATAGGCTGTGACAATTAAATTAATAATGCATTTTATTTGCAAGTGTTTAGTCTTCATGGTTTGACTGATATATGCAAAGATGGTAATTTATTAAAAGTAAATTCATGTAATTGTACTACAGAGTTTGATGGACCAAAAAAAGTTGTCAGCATGACTATCATCAAAAACAGAAAATTGAAATAAGTTCAAAAGGGTGCTTGAAAAAAATGTTAAAATACAATACACCCTGAGAAAATGGTGCTCTTTTAATAAACTTCTCAGCAAAGTACTTTTGGTGACAAACATCACGATAAGTCTGAGAGGGGAACATTTGCAATTTAGTGAGCCACTGGACTACTGCAGCTTATTCTCCGTAGCTTTCCATAGCACATAACTATTTTTTTTATTAATGCACAAAAGGAAGGTGTCATGGAGGCTGCTGCAGTGCTTGTATGTGCAGATAGGGAAAACAAGCATAATTCGTAAGAAGATTGCCATAGAGCACCTTTTGTTTTGCCTTTGTTTTTCTTTTTTTAAAAAAGCAATCTGAGTTTGAAGGAAAAACACTATGCAGTTGAAAATCACAGAAACTTTTTTTTAAAAAAAAGCCTTGTAGGAAAATTTCTATACATTTCTGGAAAAACAAAACACAAATAGTCCATTATAGTCATTACCATTTAGTAGCTTAGTAGCTAACTCAGAAGTGGAAGATTTAGCTCAAAAATTCCTCCAAGATATTTTTTACTATTATTGGAGCTGTGATACTGATATATTGTCAACTTGAATGTGTCTCAAAACTGGCATGTTATCTGCTAAGTCCAAGGCCGGTGCATATTTGATACTTAAGTGTCAGTAATCTTCATGGGACCTATAACTATATCTTATTGGCAGGATAAATCTTTAGCTACATCTTTATTGTGGATAGGAGACAGTGTGGTTGGGGATGAGGTGAAAGCATCTGCAATAATAATGATGCTGGTCTCTAATTTCTGTTACATTGTTAATTATATTGCTTCTGTGTAAATTGGGAAAAGCGGGAGCTACAGAAATGTTTTAGTATTGCATATTTAAGCTACATGCATACTTAAAAAAAATAAAATCACTAAGAAGTCGTTCATCAATGAGGTTGAATTTTACCAACACAACTCTGGTTTTAGAAATTTTTTTATATGAAAGATTCACTCAACTCTCCTTTAGAACTTGTTGTCAGGACAGCATAATTACTATACAATATTCGTTTTATAATAAATAAGACTTCCTCATTAAGAAGAATTCCATCTGATACACCCTTTTATTCTGCATACAAGCATACTGGAGAAAGCCTTAATTGGCAGTTGTTACATAATTACCTAATCTTCCTTGTGGTTTTTAAATGCTGAGTTGCCTCAGAAAAGACTCTTTGCACATGGGTAATCCCCTTCATTTAAATGGGATTGTCCATGCACCTGAAGTTCCTTGGATCCCAAATGCTTGCTGACCTGGGATTTGCGTAACAAAACATTTTCTGGGAAGGTTGCTAATAATACGAGTGTTTTACTAAGGTTGTTTTTACATGTTTTCATGTGTTTTATGGGGTGAGTGTTAAGAGTGTTAGTGTTTTCAATATGGACTAACAATAATTAACACTAGACAAGTAAAAGCTTTCAAGTGTCTTAAACAACTAGGGGCAACTTTGGACTAGAAATCTTGGCACACTCTTAAGTCAATACACCTCCTGCCAGAAATGTGCCTGTAGTTTCTCAGATAGATATCTTTGTGGACGGAATATATAATCGCTGTTGTTAGTGGTGGACATAGATGTAGAGATCTAAAAAGCCGCTGTTTTTTTTTAGAAAGCCATTATTTAGAATGCTGCAAGTCTGCACAGAAAATGTATCCGTCACAAAACTAGTAATTTTATGGCATGGTATAATTGACAGGGATAACTCCAGCTCATTTTCATTTTTTGGAAAAGCTGTGTAATGATTTCAACTTGAGAGCACCTTTTAATGAATAAGTAAATATCCATTATTATTTACCAGCAGCCTAAATACATCTGGTATTTTTTTGTCAAATAATGCTGGCGGATACCATACTTCAGAAATGTATTTTTAAATAACAACTTTGTAGTAAAAATACAAGTGTCTCAGGTGTGTGTGTCCCATGCATTTCCATAAGCCAGCATGAATTTTGGAAAATTAAATGCTAGTAACACGTGCAGTCTAGAGTAACAAGACTACATGCAAGGCGATTGGAAGGCAGGACTGAACTCTGAAAGAAAAGCAGCCATGAAAAATGAATGAGATATTCGTGTTCTCTATGCTCCAGAGAAAACTTATTTCTTGCTGTTATGGAATAAATAGAAGTGTCCTGATACTTCCATTTTGGATGTAAAACTAGAAATGAATGAAGTCTTTCAGTCCAACCTTCTTCTAATTCATTGAATTCTTCATTCTTCTTCCAAAGCATTTTCCTTTTTTTGAACATTCCCATAGAGACATTCCCGGGAGTGACTATTTGATATGTGACTTTTTGGGTGATAATGTAAAATTCATCTGTTGGGCCATCCAGTCCAGCATGGTTTCGAAGAAAATAAATTTTCCTTATTTTGCAAACAGGTTTTGCTAATATTACCCACCCTTGCTAAGTGAAAAGATCCGGGTGATTTTACAGTACATTTCAGCCATTTTTATAAAGCAAAGCAAAGCAAACCCCCAACCCAGAAGCTTGCAGGCGCCTTCTCGCGTCCTGGAGGAGCGACTGCTGTAACCAGCTGCCGCACAGAGAGGTTCCCAGCTGGGGGTGCTCATGGGCACTGATAAATAGGCCCGCGGGTACCTGTGATCACTGGAGGGGAGCGCGCTGGCTCTGGCCATCAAGCCTTGTCATCACCTTTTACTGTTCTGTGCTAAAACATTTGGAGCTTTTCAGCTGAAGAAGTCTAACATT